CTGCTGTTTCTATTCACCATGGTAACTGGAATACCTAGCCAGAGCAACTAGGCAAGAAAAATAAATAAAAAGCAGCCAAACAGGAGGAGACTATGGTTCACAGACAGGAAGTGAAATGGAGAAGACTATAAGTCACACACACCTGTCAGACTCAACAAATCCAGCAAAGTCGCAGGACACAAAATCAACACACAAAAAGTAAGTTGTGCCTTGTCTACACCAACAAGGAACCACCCAAAAGGAAATCAAGATAAGAATTTCACTTATAATAGCATCAAAAATAGCAAAATACTTAGGAATAAACACAACCAAAGAAAATGTGGCTGAAACAAGCATCTAATAAATGGAGGGAAACCTGTGTTCATGCATTGTGAGCTTAATTTTTTTTAAAGATTTATTTATTTATTTTTACTTGAAAGAGTTACACAGAGAGATAGAGAGAGAGAGAGAGAGAGAGAGGGAGGGGGGGGGGGTCTTCCATTCGCTGGTTCACTCCCCAATTGCTGCAAAGGCCGGAGCTGCGCCAATCTGAAGCCAGGAGCCAGGAGCTTCTTCCCAGTCTCCCACGCAGGTGCAGGGGCCCCAGGACTTGGGCCATCTTCTACTGCTTTCCCAGGCCACAGCAGAGAGCTGGACTGGAAGAGGAGCAGCCGGGACTAGAACCGGCACCCATATGGGATGCTGGTGCCACAGGCGGAGGATCAACCTACTGTACCACGGCGCCGGCCCCGCTTAATGTTGTCAAGATATCAACACTGCCCAAAGGAATCTACAGGTTCACTGCAGTCCCTATCCGAATCCCAACTATATTTTTTGCAGAAAGAGAAAAGCCCACCCATTCCAGTGCAGTGGTGTAGCATGTGAATCTACCTCCTATGAGGCCGGCATCCCATATGGGCGCCGGTTCGTGTCCTGGCTGCTCTACTTCTGATCCAGATCCCTGCTAATGGCCACGGAAAAGCGGCTGAAGATGGCCCAAGTGCTTGGGCCCCTGCACCCGTGTGGGAGACCTGGAAGAAGCTCCTGGCTCCTGGCTTCAGCCTGGCGCAGCTCTCGCCGCTGTGACCATCTGGGGAGTGAACCAATGGATGGAAGCTCTCTCGCTCACTCTGTCTCTCCCTCTCTCTCTGTAACTTGACTTTTGAATAAATAAATGTCGTTTTTTAAAAAAAGAGAAATAAAAACCCATCCAAAAATTCATTTGGAATTGCAAAGGACTTAAAACAGGTGTGGGAAGTCTCACGCTCCTGATCTCAACCTTTGCAACAATAAAACGTGTGAGGCGGCCGGCGTTTGGCCCTGCAGTCAGCCCCTGCAGCCACCCCAGCGCAGACGCTCCAGTTCCTGACTTCAGTCTGCAGACCCTCAGAGGCTCCAGGAACTGGGCTCCTGCCGCTGCAGAGACCGGGGTGGACGTCTGGGTCCCTGCCTGCCTCAGCCTAGTCTCAGTCATTACAGGTATTTGGGAAATAGATCAGGAGCTGGGAGCTCTTCCTGTGTCTCTCAAATAAATTTAAAAACCAAACAAACTTTCAGAATCAAAATGCAACAAAAATTTAAAAACAAGGAGGAGGTGTTTAGTCCAGTGGTTAGAATGTCAGTTGGGAAGCCAGTGTCCTGTATCAGAGTGCCCAGTTCAAGGCTGGCTCCTCTGCTTCTGAGCTGGCTTCCTGCTAACGCTTACCCTGGGAGGCAGCAGAGGACGGCTCAAGTACTTGGGTCTCTGCCAACCACACGGGAGACTTGCGTTCATTTCTGGGCTCCTGCCTCAGGCCTGGCCCAGCGCTAGCTGCTGCCTGCATTTGGAGTGAACCAGCAGGTGGAAGATCTCTGCTACTGCTTTCTGCCCTTCAAACAGAATCAAAATAAACAAATTCTTCAAATTAAAAAAAAAAAAAAAAACATTGGATGGAAGATCTGTCTCTCCCTCCCTCTCTGTAACTGACTTTCAAATAAATAAACAAATCCTTAGTACTACAAAACAGCATAGTATTGGCATAAACACAGGGCTGGGGATGTGATGACATACCAGGATAAGCCTCCACCTGTGGCACTGGTTTGAGTACTGCCTGCTCCACTTCCCAAACAGCTCGCTGCTAATGGCCTGAGAAAGCAGTGGAAGATGGCTGAAATCCTTGGGCCCCTACACCCCCATGGGAGACCTGGAAGAAGCTCCTGGCTTCTGGCTTCAGATCAGCCCAGCTCCAGCCATTGCGGCCATCTGGTGAGTGAACCAGCAGATGGAAGTCCTCTCGCTCTATCTCTACCTCTGTGACTATGTGTCTCTAAATAAATAAATCTTAAAAAAAAAGATACACACACAGACCTATGGGATAGAACAGCCCAGAAATAAACCTGCAGATGTATGCTCAAATGACTTTTTCTTCCCAAGATTTATTTCATGATGTCGGATTTGGCACAATGTAGGATTCGGCAATGATACCATGGATATGATACCAAAAGCATATGCGACAAAAGAAAAACTAGATAAATTGGACAGGATCAAACCTAAAACTCTCAGGGCTGGTGCTGTGCTGTAGTTTAAGCATCTGCCTGCAGTGCCAGCATCTCATATGGGTACCAGTTCAAGTCCCGGCTGCTCCACCTCTGATCCAGCTCCCTGCTGATGGCCGGGGAAAGTGGTGGAAGATGGCCCAAGTGCTTGGGCCCCTGCATCCACCTAGGAGACCGGAAGCAGTTCCTGGTTTCAAAACAACCCATCTCTGGCCGTTGCAGCCATTTGGGGAGTGAACCAGCAGATGAAAGAACTCTCCATCTCTCCCTCTCTCTGTAACTCTGCCTCTTAAGTAAATAAATAAATCTTGAAAAAAAAAAAAAAAAAAAGCTCTTTGTGCACCAAAGGGCACAATCAATGGAATATAAAGGCCACCCACTGCTCACGAATCATGTATCTGACTAATATCAGGGGCTGATATCCAGGACACACAGAGAATTCCTACAACTCAATCACAACAAACCAAACAACCCCATCAAAAATGGGGAAAAGCACTTAACAGACATTTCTCCAAAGATGACGCCCAAATGACCAATAAGCACACGAGAAGACGCTCGACATCAGCAGTTGCTAGTGGGGTACAAAGACCCAGAGAGGCGCCGAGTCGGACTCACTGGGGTGGCTACTATCAAAAATACAGCAGAGGCCGGCGCCGCGGCTCACTAGGCTAATCCTCCGCCTAGCGGCGCCGGCACACCGGGTTCTAGTCCCAGTCAGGGCGCCGGATTCTGTCCTGGTTGCCCCTCTTCCAGGCCAGCCCTCTGCTGTGGCCAGGGAGTGCAGTGGAGGATGGCCCAGGTGCTTGGGCCCTGCACCCCATGGGAGACCAGGAGAAGCACCTGGCTCCTGCCATCGGATCAGCGCGGTGCGCCGGCCGCAGCGCACCGGCGCGGCGGCCATTGGAGGGTGAACCAACGGCAAAGGAAGACCTTTCTCTCTGTCTCTCTCTCTCACTGTCCACTCTGCCTGTCAAACAACAACAAAAAAAGTGCCACCACAGCAGACGAGCGCTGCAGAGGCTGTGGAGCAGCTGGAGCCAGCGTGCACTGTGAGCGGGATGGTACAGGCCAACTTACACACAGAACTACTGCCTGACCCACAAGTCCCACTCTGGTTACATCCCCTGAGTGCATCGTGGCACAGTGGGGTAAGCTGCTGCTTGGGGTGCCTGCATTTCATAGGCATGCCAGTTGGAGTCCTGGATGCTCCACTTCTGATCCAGCTTCCTGCTAACGCACCTGGGAAGGCAGCAGAAGGTGGGAGACCAGGATGGAGTTCAAATAACTTATTTATTTGACAGACAGAGAGAGAGATCTTTTATCTGCTGGTTCACTCCACAGAATGCCCACAAGAGCTAGGTCTGGGCCAAGCAGAAGCCAGGAACTCTAGCCTTGTCTCCCATGATGTATTCCAGCCACATTAGCAGGAGGCTGAATCAGAAGCACACAGTAGCCAGGACCCCAAAGAGGTACTCTGATATGGGACACAGGTGTCCCAGTGGCAACTTAACTTGCCACGCCACGACGCTGTCCCCATCATGTACACTCTATCCCAATTTAAAAAGAAGGCAGGGGTCGGCGCTGTGGCAAAGCAGGTAAAGCTGTGCCTGCAGTGTCAGCATCCCATACGGGTGCCAGTTTGAGTTCTGGCTACACCACTTCTGATCCAGCTCCCTGCTATGGCCTGGGAAAGCAGTACAAGATGAACCAAGTCCTTGGGTCCCTGCACCCGTGTGGGAGACCTGGAAGAAGCTTGAGGTTCCCGACTTCGGATCGGCACAGCTCCAGCTGTTGGTGGCCATTTGGGGAGTGAACCAGCAGGTGGAAGACCTCTCTCTCTCTCTGCCTCTACCACTGACTCACCTTTAAAGTAAATAAATTAAAAAAAAAGGGGGGGGGAGCAGAGAAATAGGAAGGCAAGGGTCCAGAGCAGATGGTGTGAGAAGGGGTAGCCAGACTGCGTAGGGAGGTCGGTGGTCCCTGTGCTGAGAAGAGGAGGTTCCTCTGCAAAGATCATCTGCAGGAGGCGAGGCTGTGGCAGCGGGGGGAGGGGGGCAGCTAAGAGGTGGCGGTGGTTTGGGTTTTGGGGAAGAGCCAGCAGAGTTAGGGACACAAAGGCCTGTATCCCTAAGCTCTGGGACAGGGCACACCCAAGACAGCAGATGCCCTGACACGGGCACTTGGGACAGTCCCGGCGCACGGGCTGGTGGTGGAGAGCTGCCACCACTGAACTTGCCACCTCAGACCCCTTCTGCAGTTCCTGTCCCTGATGGTGCTCCCTCCACATGACCTCTGGCGGGAAACCTGGGGCCACCTGACTCCCCCTTCACCTGTGCCCTTCTCCTGCATCTCTGGCAGAGGCCAGTCTGTCCATCCACACAGCCCAGCAGGCCTGGAGCCCTCGGAGGGCGAGGGCATCCTTCTCTTTCCCTGCCATGCATCTCTGGCGTCCAGGACAGCACGTGGCACAGTCCAGGCTTGGGGTTTATGTCACTGAACGAATGAGCAGGTGAATGCATGGGCAAGAAGGGAACACACGTGTCCTGGGGAGTGGTAGGTGAGGCGGGGGTGGGGTTCAGGAAAGACCACAGAGCCCCTGATGAGCTGGGAGAAGAGGCAGGCAGAGACAGACCTTGTCCTTGAGGCAATGATGCATGAGCTGGAGGCACACTGGTGGTCCAGAAACGGCCCCTACTCAAATCCTGGGGAAGTGGCGCGAGCCCACGGAGGGTCTTAAGGGGAAGGGGCCTCTGCACCAGAGGCCTGGGCTCAGGGGCTTCAAGGGTCCTGGCATGACCCTGCTTAGTCCACGGTCCTGCAGTGAGGCTGTGGGGGGAAGCCCCTGGCCAAGGTCACCCCGACTCACCTGGGAGTAGACAGTGGCATGCACCCACGCAAGGCGGCGGCTCAGGTGGTCAAGCTTCTCCGAGAACACCTTCTGGCTCTTGGTCAACTCCGCAAGGATGTCCTTCCTCTGGCAGCCACAGTGGAAGGACCATCAGGATGCTGCCCTAACCACCAGCGCCTGGGCAGCCGGGGGCTGGGCTCTGCTGCTGCTACTGACCCGCTGGTGACCCTCAACAGCTCTCAGGACGTGCAAGTGAGGCCCAGCTCGGGCCTGGATGCCAGAGCTGAGGCCCGGGGCTCTGCAGAGCACGGAGGGGAAGTCTGCCAGGGAGGCCCAGCCCGGGCACACTGGCCACGCTCCCCAGGCCAGGGACGGTGTGGCGGAGGGGCTCCGGGGGTAGGGGCTGGACTCCATTCCTGCTGACTCCGCGAGTGGCTGCAGAAGCACTCAGGCTAGATCCATAATTGACGAGGAGAGCGGTGCAGCAGCACTTAGTGGGCTGGAGGGGGGCCCCGGGCGCGGCGCTTGGATGACAGGGCTCAGGTCAGGCCCTGCTGCCAGCCCCGCTCTCACTGGTGTGTTTGGTCAGGGTGGGGGTGGGGACGAGGAGAACTAGGGGGCAGTCCCTGGAAGCAGATTCCCTTTGCAGGCTGCCCTAGGACCCCAGCAAGCCCCTGTCCCTGCCTAACCCCCTCTCCCAAGACCTGCCTGCCTGTCCGAGCCTTACCCGCTTGGGGCACCGGCGGATCTTGTCCTCTGTGTCCCTCAGGGCCGTGGCGTACTCGTTCACGTCGTCAGACACACCCACCATCTAGCACGGGACACCAAATGTGCAGGGCAACCCTTGGTCACCTCACGCAGGCTTCTGCAGACCCAGCCTGCACCCCGGCCCTGCCTAGTTCCCACTCTGGGGCCCAGGGCAGCCCCTCCTCAGAAGTCAGCCAGCTCAGGCCCAGACAGTAGCGGCAGAGAGCGGTCTTGCTGCATGCTCACGTGCTGCCCCCGGCACAGGCACCGTGGCAGGGCACACGCACCACACCCCCGCCCGGCAGGCAGGGGCCACCGCCGCGAGACCTTGCCCAGCTGCTGGTGCACGCTGAGATTATACATCATGATGGCGCCATCCAGGACTTCCAGCAGCGAGTTCTCGGTGAGCGGCTGCTCCGGCTCCTCAGGGGGCCGCCCCAGCAGCAAGCCTTCGTTCCAGTGGCTGCCCTCAACTGCGGGCGGAGGGCGGGCAGGTGAGGGTCGGGGCAGTCGGGTCCTAAGCCTGAGCCTGTGCAGGCTGGGTGGGCCCACAGCGAGACAGCGAACCCTCTCCCCCTCCCTGAGCCCAAGCCGGGGCCTGCAGGGAGCATGTGGCTGGCGGGGGAGGGTGGCAGGGCGAGGCCCGCCAGCACCAGGAACTATTTCTGCAGCATTGATTTCCTGCGCCCTTGGGAGGCTGCCAGGCCCCGGGGCTGAGGGGCGTGGGGCGGGGGGGGCTTCTCTGGCTTTGCTGGGGGCAGGGATGCCCTCCCGGCCACACCCGGCACCTACTGTCCTCCCGGGTCCTCTGCTCCACGCTCAGGGTGCGGACCTTCACTTTCTCCGAGGTGCTCAGGGGCCGCCGTGGGGTCATGAGGCTCACGGCTGCCGTGCTGAGGAAGCGGTTCGCTCGGCCCAGGGTTGGAGAGCTGAGCCAGCCGGGCCGAGGCAGGGGCAGGGCACCCCCCACGGCGAGGGCCTGTACAGGGCGCTGCAGTAGAGAGAGGGGGCCAGAGCAGCTCAGCTCCCAGCACCAGGCCCGCTCAGGGTTCCCCTGATCTGCGGGGTGGGGAGTGGAAGGAGGAGTTCCTCCTGCCCGCACTGTGGCAGGTGCCTGGTGAGAAGTCTCTTGGTGCGGAGGGGATGGCCCTGTGACACTCGCGCACATCTGAGGAGGGGAAGCCCCCTGGGAAGCCCCCAGCCTGTCCCTTGTGCAGCACCTGGGCCGCAGCAGGGGCTGGCTCCTCATCCTCGTCCAGGTCGTCCATGGTGGTCGCCTGGAGCTCCAGCGGGTCGATTACAATGTTGGCTTTGGAAGCAAGGTCATCTAGGAGGAACAGCAGGAGGCCTCTTAGGCTGGGG